AATAAGCTGAAAGGAGCACAAAAAGCAAGAAGTTAGAAGAAGCACAAAAATGTTGTAGTTAGCAGAAAGATCCTGAAAGGAGCACAAAACAGCTGAAATTACTTGAAAGTTGCTGAAAAAAGTTTAAATGTGCAGAAGAAGCTGAAAGAAGCTGAAGCAGAACAGAATGTGAGAGGAGCAGTTAAAGGTTGTAAACAGATTTAAAGATATGAAGGATGTAAAATGAGCTCAGTTCATTTTCTATTAGAAGACAACTATCAGAAAAGGCTAAATATTTCAAAAAGCTAAAGCTGCACCAATACCAGAAGTCATAGCAGGGTTGTCCTGAAAGAGCTGAACGTTTTATGATTTGTTGAAATGGCACAAAAATTGTGGAACGAGAAAGATGCTGAACAACGTACAAAAGAAAAATGGATCACAGTCGTGTGAGCGCTTCATAAATATCCAGACTAATATTCTGTGATGTTTACAGAATAAATGTGTGCAATAAAGTCTTCTGCTTTCACAAACTGTTCATCGCTCCTTTAGCTGCTTTTGATTATTCCAGTTAATGTTTAGCCAGGTAGCTCTAGATTTTTTTTAAATAATAGATCCAGACACATTATTTGTAGTTCACATAAGAGTTCAGTTTAGACGTTTCAGTTTATTAGGAAGCGAACTGATCAATGTAAATTGTGATCGATGTGTTAAGCTGCGTATATGAGAAGCCTATTACGGCGTCTCAACAGAAAATTCAACAACAACGCAGCGCTGCTTTTCATTACAGGCGCCGCGGCAGAGAGGAGGAGTCATCAGACTGCATCTCAGACCTCTTGTTCTTTTTCCATTAGGAAATACCACACACACACATGCACACACACACATGCACACACACTACGAGCGAGACGGTTAAAAAAAAAAACTTTCCTTTTGAAAAACGTGCTCTTTTGAAATTATTTACTGCTTAGTTGACATAGCTTTCTGAAAATCGCATACCATAAAAAAAACTACCCACCATTTAATACGGTTTGTGAGGTCAGCTTGAAAGTGTTGGGGGCTGTGGAGCTATGATGGGGGTGCTGGCAGGTACAAGCTTGTGTGAAGCTAATCATGCTGGTGTGAACAGCGTGGGAGCTGAAGGTTCAGTCGGGTAACAGATTTGTAAAAATTAACCAGAAAGAGCGCGATATTCACTGTGTGTATGTCGCCGTTTCCTCAGCATAACAAGACCAGTATTGTTTTTGTGTACTAGTTGTGTTGGTTTGTCAACAAATACAGCTTCCACCATCTATTTGTTTATTTTCTACACCCTCTTGATCCCACACAGGGTCACTGGGAGCTGATGCTTATCTCCATAGATAGATATCTGATCTTGTGAAAACTCACTCATGGATGGAAAGAACATGCAAACTCCACAGAGAACGACTCCTCCAGAGTTTCAAACCCAAGACTCTTGCTGCAGAGCAACGATGCTAACGGGAATACATTAGTGCTAACTGTGCTAACTGCATAGCAACAGTGCTAACGACAAGGCAGCAAAACTATCAGTGCTAACTGCAAAGCATAAGAGCTATCTGGAAGGCAACATTTCTAAATGCAAGGAACAGCACTAGTAACTGTGAGGTAACAGCGCTAACGTTACTAACCGAGTCCGAATTTCGTACCACAAAATGCAAATGTGAGCTGGTATGACGATAAAAGAATCTTTGAATCCTTAACTGTAATACAATCATGCTAACATTACTAGCATCAAGGCAACAGTGCTAACAATGCTAACAGTACCAAATGCGAAGCAACAGCGCTAACTGCAAGCAACATTGCTAACAGTGCTACGGCAAGGCAACGGCGCTAGCAAAGAAAGTTAACTGCAAAACATCAGAGTGCCATTGTTGATGTTCTGATGCTAAGGCCAGATCCTATTTTGACTCCTCCCGTAATCTTTAGCCTTACCGAGTTAGCGGTGTCTTAGCTCACTGTGACGCAGGAGGAGGGTAAAGGGATGGGACTCTGGCTCCCTAAATCGAGATATTTCAGGGGCACACTTGAAACGTATTACTTTGAGCATCACTAGTGAACAGATTTGCAGTATGGATGTATTTTCTCGTTAATTTTTTTTGTTTATTGTCACAACAACTATTGGAAGGTCTAGTTTTAGGACTGCCACACTTTTGAACAACCAAGCCAAGGCAATAGTGACAGCTGAAATGGTCGAGGATAAAGGTGATGCAGCTCGAGGTTGTTTTTATGACAGACGGTCTAATCGACCAGCTGGCTGCAGGATTTATATTGAAAGATGTCCCACCATTTTATGGGTAGCGGTCCATGTCAAGACCGCTCCACAACACCACTAGTGAGGGGTTCCTCCAAAAACTGTTTGGCAAAAGAGGCCAGAAGGTTGGTTTGAGAACTGAAGGAAGCGTATATTTTTGCTAAACCTATTAGTATTAATAAACAATTATCTGTTGCCATCTAAAGATTACGAGTCTTAATCATCAAACCCTTTCTGGCATTTTTCTCTGCTGCTTTCTCACCTCTCAGCAACCAGTGGGAAAAACATGAAAACTGAGACACAGGTGCTGCGTAGCCCTTTTGTCTTCACCTGGAGGTTGTGGTGCGTGGAAACCCCGCTGCAAGTTTCCAAACAAAAGGCCCGCTCGTACCACTTTTACAGCAGACGTTGATGTAACGTCTTAAAATTTAGGCCAATTCCATTTTCACGCTGCAGTTCTCCCAGTTTGTCGTTCTTTGTTGACCAGTAAATCTTCCTCACTTGCAAAAACTTCTGGCACTTCCAGGACGTCAACAACTGTTTCCATGGAAATATATGTACAAATATTGAAACAGTGTGGAAAATGGGTCAACGTGAGCACACAGCTCTCTGAATATGTGACAACGCTGGTGTAGAAGCTAAAGCTAGATTCACTGGAGGCTGTTGGGAGTGCTGGTGAGAAAAGAGACAGTTTTTAGGCTTACCTGATTTGAATACTGATGTGGGAACAAGCAATACAAACACTTGCTAATTATTTACCTGCCACTTATGAAGCTACCTGTGATGCACATCCAACTAGAGAAACTGCATTTCCTGGGAAAATGCAGTGTGAATGCTTATTGGTGAAGAACTTGCTGAAAAACAGCTGAAATTTGCTTTAAAAAAAGCATGCTGAATTGTAGCTGAAATTAAATACAAGCCTTTATTAGCAGACGAAAGTAGAATGAACACGTTTTTGCTGTATTAGGTATAAATAAGCAGAAATTAGCACAAAAATTAGGAAATCAGCTTAAAAAAGCTGAAATTAGCTGAAAAGGCAGAAAGAAGCCTAATCTACCAGAATAAAGTGGAAAGAGCTGAAATGTGCTAAAAAAAAAACAACGTATTAGCTGAAAAGGCTAAAATTAGCATAAAAACAGCTAAATAGTAGCTGAAATTGTATAAAAAGCTGATACTAGCAGAAAAAAGTTGAAAATAGCGTAACAAGCTGAAATTATCATAAAGAAGTTAGGTTGAAAGTAGCAAAAATTGCCATGAAAAACTTAAAATTTATCTGAAAACAGCTGAAATTAGCTAAACAATGCTAAAAAGGTAGCTGAAAATATTGCAAAGCTTAAATTAGCAGAAGAAAGCAGAAAGAACCAATTAGTTTGCCCCAGTTAGGCTGAAAGAAGCAGAAATTTCCACAAAAAAATGTAAATAAGTTGAAATTAGCAAAAAGCTGCTGAAAAGTAGCTAAACATCTGAAAGAAGCTTAAATTACCAGAAGGAAGTGGAGAGAGCACATTTTGGTGAAATTAGTCTGAAAAAAGTTGAAATGAGTGCAAAAAATGTAGATTTAGCTGAAAAACTAAAATTGGCATAAAACAGCTAAATGATAGCTGAAAAAACTAAAACTTGCAGAAATAAACGGAAAGGAGCATAACAAGCTGAAATAAGTGAAATAAGTTAGAAGACGCACAAAAATGTTGTAGTTAGCTGAAAGAATCTGAAAGGAGCACAAAACAGCTGAAATCAGCTGAATGTAGCTGGAACAAAGTTTACATTTGCACAAGGGAGCTGAAAGAAGCTGAAGCAGAACAAAATGTGAAAGGAGCAGTAAAAGGTTGTAAACGGATCTAAAGATTTGAAAGATGTAAAATTAATTTTCTACGAGGAAAAAAAATGGCAGAACAGGCTAAATATTTCAAAAAAAGCTAAAGCTGCACCAACACCAAAAGTCATAGCAGGATTGTCCTGAAAGAGCCGAACGTTTTGATTTATGGTTTGTTGACATACTGTAGATTGAAACTTGTGGAATGAGAAACGTACAGAATAAAAATGGATCACAGTAGAGTGAATGCTTCATAAGCGTTCTCACTATTAGGGATGAATTCAGGCAGCGAACACTAATTTCAAATTCAAGCTTTCTTATCTCTCTGCCGTTTTTTCTTGCTTTTTATCAAAACAAATTCGTGGTCAGCCAGGTGTAGCTAGAGGAGGGACTACCTCTGCAATGAATGCTGAAAACAGGGCCTGTAGTCTGGTGGACTGGATGGACCCCCTCCTCCCGTCCACTCTCTCCTCTGCTGAATCCCTGCGCACAAAGAGGGCACTGTACGGGCTCTGGTTTTAACTAAGCAGTCCCTGCACTGCAATTTAGGAGGCGTGCAGCTCAGGAAATTGCTGGCCTCTGCCGAGGCATGCTTTCACTGAGGGAATGGTATTCATCAACCAAGTAATTGGGGGGTTATGTTTTTAAATACCTTGTTGGTAATTACCTTATAAACAAATAACACATCGCTAAACCTGAAGCTTTTTTTTAACGTGACAAGATGTGACATTAATCATATTGAACGGTTTGAGAAAGAAGTGACAACAGAGTTTCTTGTTGGGTGGTAACGAGCGCGTGAGAGTCTGTCTTTTTCATGCCACAGTCTAATTTAGGGACTTGGCTGTTCTGTGTATCTGGGAACATGAAGCTGTCGTGCACCGCTAGTCAAATATCTGGTGTTTTAGTAATTCATTAGAGCGATGGTGTCTGTGTTTTCAGAGCAAACAACAGGATCACCAGGATTTCTGAGGAGCGGCTCGGACCCTTCCTCGCCCTCCAAACGCTGGACCTCAGCAACAACAAAATCACGGAAATCAAAGCCAGCTCCTTCCCTGCCCTGCCTCTCAAGAACATGTGAGGATTAATAAAAACAAACTGAGACCAAAGAGTTGGAAGAAACGTTCAGTTTTTAATTCAGATCTATTCTGCATTTCTTCAGGTTCCTCAACAACAATCGTATCTCCTCACTGGAAAGCCGTTGCTTCAGCAGCCTGTCCAGCACCCTGCAGGTGCTTCAGCTCAACCGGAACCGCATCTCCACCATCCAGACCAAGAACTTGGAGCTGCCTAACCTCCAGCACCTGTACGCTCTTACTCTTATGGGTTTTTAAACGATTGTTGCATTTTTGGTCACACGTGATTTTATTCACGGTAGGACTTGGTAAAGGCTAGGCTAATGGTGACACTGCGTTTAGTTTGTCGCGGTTTTCTCAATCGAACAACGTCCGTCTTAACGGCACCGGTCCGCCTGATGGGTGGACACAGTCCAAGGATTTACTCGACTCAAGTGGACTGGTGCATTCAGCAGCCTCAGGAGACCAACATCCATGTAGAAACACGAACGTTGTTCCAATAAAACATTAAATATATTATAACTAGAGACAGGGCAGCACGGTGGCGCAGTTGGTAGAGCCGCTGCCTCTCAGCGAGCAGGTCGCCCCGGTTCAAATCACGGGCGGAGGATTTTCTGGGTGGAGTTTGCATGTTCTCTCTGTGCATGCACGTGGGTTTTCTCCGGGTTCTCCGGTTTCCTCCCACAGACCAAAAACCTGATGCTGATTGGTAACTCTAAATGACCCCTAGGTGTGTGTGAGAGAGAGAATGGCTGTTTGTCTTGTTTGTCTCTATGTGTCCCTGTGATGGACTGGAGACATGTCCATGGTGTCCCCCGCCTCTCGCATGATGGATGGATGTTACACTGTGCCTGACATTATAACAGCTTATTAGCCATTTTTATTGGTGTGTAGGCAGGACTGTTGTAATGACGGTAAAAATTTGCATTAAAAAAAACCCGTGAACTACCAAATTCCACGGGACAAATTACCATATTTTCCGCCGTACACGTCGCATCAGTCCAAAAATGTCTAATAAAGTGGAAGAATCTATAAATATGTCGCTTCGCCGTATAAGTCGCATCTTTTATGCATCACCGCTGACGCATCGCGTTTCTTATGCGTCACCTCTGACAACCCGGAAATGTTGTGCCAAAAATCGATTGGCTGACAAATAGCGGCCGCGGGGGCGTGCACGGGACGACTTTAACAAGAATATAACAAGAGTAACACTTAAAAACAGGCTGACGATTGCTCCAGGCAAGTTGGACGAAGGTGGCAGGCTATGTTAAGCCGACTGTGTCATTAATAGCCACTTTTTACCAATTACATGACACAACGGCATGCCATACAGCTCGACTGCCATCTAGCGGCTGAAAATGGTAGTGTTCAATATTTTCAGTCAGAATGAATGCAAATGGTCATATCTCAGCCAAAAACTGGTTTATGAATATAAGAAAAAAATCCATAAATACGTCACTTTGGCGTATAAGTCATAGGGCATGCAAATTATGCAAAAAATAAATAAAACACGACTTATAGGCCGAAAAATACGGTAGGTCAATAACGTCCATGAAGAGCCAATAGAGGACTCGTGTTTTGTGCTTCTTCCTGTTTAAACTGATCCTAAACTATTTGTGTGTGTTACAGAGATTTGAGTAGAAACCGGATTCGCTGGTTGGAGGGTTTGACGTTTCAAGACATGGTCGCCCTTCGCTCCCTGAAGATACAGAGAAACGGCCTCAGACACTTGTTGGACGGAGCTTTCTTTGGCCTCCGCAACATGGAAGTCCTGTAAGTGACGCTCGTTCGGTTGGTTGTTTCTAAAGGCGGTAAAATGTAGTCTAAAGGAGTCCTCGTGCTTGTGCTGCCTGCAGGGAGGTGGACTACAACAACCTGACGGAGGTGAATAAGGGTTGGCTGTACGGCCTCGAGTCTCTGCAGCAGCTCCACCTTGGACACAACTCTATCAGCAGGATCCAGCCTGACACCTGGGAATGCTGCCAGAAACTGAACAAACTGTAAGTCCATGTTTTTACGCTCCTCTCCCTAATCAATCCTTTACCCACCTCCATCGCTTGTATTCTCTTCTCACGTGTCATTCACACCCAGAACTCCCAACACTTCCGCCATTTCTCATAAGAAAGAGCGTAAGCTTTCAACTTTTTTTTTTTTTTTTTTTAAATTGCACACATTTGACTGATTTCTCAACCTGGTCTCTGGGGGCTGATTCGGTTTCCTTTGTTGCGTCTGTTTCCAGCAGTGGGCAGCTCGGTGTTTACCGTGTGTGGCGTGTTTTTCACCGGGACATTGGTTTTGATGTGTGTGTTTGTGCCCCTTTTTCTGCCTGCCTTGCTTTTATCAGATGAACCTGAGCGTAAACAAAGCTGCCTGTAGGCCGTGAACGTGTCCAGATATCTGATTTGTTCTCATCCGAGTGCTTCTTATAGAAGAACTGAGTGTTTTCAGTTTGTTTTCTTCTCTTTGGTCTTACGTTAATCACAAAGTGATCCCTCAAGAGACTGATAACTGTAGCCAAACAAGAGGCGAGTGATTTATTTAATTAATCGATGTTAAAATGTGTTGATTTACAAATAAAAGGAGGGACACGAAGGAGAAAAAGGAGTGGTTGCGAGAAAATTAAGAAAACTGCACAAATGTTTTCTGTGTAAATGCTGAATCGGCAGTTTAATTGTTAAAGTTGAAACTAGCGGAACAAAAATTAAAATTAGCAAAACCGTTGCTAAAAGCTGAGACACTGAACCGAGAATCCTGCCAACATTTAAAGATATTTTGGAGACTTCCTCGCGGATGCTGTTCACGTATTAGTCGCCAGCTGAAACGAGATTTCTCCATTCTTGTGAGGGCCTTCTCTGAACAGCCTGAAGTCTTTTACAGTTCGCTACGAGTGTAAAGTCTCATCTGGCGCTGTTCTAACCTTCTTTTGTGATTTTCTGTCCGTCTTGCAGCAACTTGTCCTCAAACCATCTGTCCAGGCTTGAAGAATCCAGCTTTGTTGGTTTAGGCTTACTGGGTGAGCTCCTTATTGGAAACAACCGTGTGAGCTTTATCGCAGACGGGGCTTTTCGTGGCCTCTTCAACCTGCAGATGCTGTAAGTTTCATGCGACCTCCTACAAGAAAAAACAGATTTATTTAGTCAGTTATACGTGATATATGTGTCGTCTGTTGTTATTAAACACAACTACTGTTCTTGCTTATTTAAGCTTAAACAGAACTAGACAAAATTGGATATGCTTCATGAGCTGATTGGCTGCTAAAACTCCCTGAAGAAACAGATAGTTGAGTTATTACAGCTAAAAGTAGCAAAACTATTAGAATATATAGTAGCAAAATGCTAGCTAAAAGTTGTCTAAAAGTAGAAAAAGGATGCCAACAAAGTCCATGCTCAATAATCCAGGTATACAATACAACCATTTTTCAGTCAGAAAAAGGAGAATTAAACATTAATTAATAAAAACACTACTTAAAAGCTCCAAAAAGTTAGCTAAAAATTAAAAGTAGCAAAAAGCTTGCTAAAAGCTTCAGAAACAAAAGGGTAGCTAAATGCTAAAAGATGCGAAGCAGCATTTCATTTTTTTATTTGGCAGTATTATGTGTTTGGGTTCGCTCTCAACTACCACCAAACCAAATTTCACCTCAAAATTGCAAAATATCAACGCGTTAGTCGATTTATTCTTTTAAGCTATGGAGGCCATCCTGGATTTTTGATTTCGATTCAGTATGTGATGGGGAAGGTTCTCAGGTACAACTACACCAAATTTCAGCTCTATGTGTAAAAACACAAGTTAAAGCCATTTAAATTGAGCTCTGGTGGCCATCTTGAATTTTTAAAATTATTTATTGGACATTACCCTCAGCTACTACCACACCAAATTTCAGCTTAATATCTCTAAAAATGGCTGATTTACAGTATTTTTCCTATTTAGCTCAGGTGGCCATCTTAGATATTTGATTTGCGTCAGAGTCTATGAAAAATGACTAATAAAAATGGCGTCTTAGTTTGCAAATCACGTTGCCATAGTAACTCGAGACACCAACAAAAGTAAGAGCACACATCATGGCACCGAGCCGGTCGTTTTCATATAAAATGTGTGGGGGTACACGTGGTTTGGGCCACATTAAAGTTGATGAAAGAAGCTGTAAAGTTAAGAAACCCTTGTCAGGTGGATAATAATAGGCGCTGCCGTACTAGGCGGCCCCCACAGTTTGCTGAAGCAGATTTGAAACGGAACAGACTTGAAGAGATCTCTGTATTTCAATAGGGTCATTTGCTAATAAAGTTTTTTTTATTTTAAGTATACAGTAAGTTGCAAAAACCAAAAGTCGTAGCACCCGTCTCCTGACTGAGCTGAACGTATTTAAAGAGCCTACCTGTACGCAGGTGAAGCAGGTGAAGCAGGTGAAGCAGTGAGAGCTGATTGTTGGTGCTTCAGGTCGTGAGTGGGAAAAATCCTGCCTGCTTTGTTCTGGAGAACTTTATGAATTATTGTGTCGAGGCGTCTCCACAAACATAAAATCTCTTGACAGGCTCAGCCACAACCTCAGCAACCCCCCACCATCCTTCCCTCTGTCCAAACGTCTGTCCCACACCACATCCACCCATCCCCCCTTTCCCACAGAAAGGCTCGGTAACATTTCCCGTGGTTGGAGCTAACTGGAACCAAATGTGATCCGTGCCGTCGAGGTCACCGCAGGGCAGGTGTGCACCTTTCTGGACTTGGATCGCTTTAGGCCTTCGGCTCCCCCAACCCCCAATGCACATGGGGGCTCACACACACACACGCCCTTCACTCATTTCAATTAGCCATAGCCGAGCACGCTGAGGAAAATAACTGTTTGAAAGCTTTAAATCAGCTGAAGGATCAAAGGAGGCAATTTCTCTGGGAAATTCTTGGCTTTTGAGTGATCTTGGTGTGTTTTTCTTTCTGTGGACAGCAAGATAAATGTCTGCAGCTTTTTTTTTTTTTTTTTAACCAAGTCACAGTCTGAGTTGTTCTTGCTGGAAAAAAGAAGTTTATTAAAACAACAATTGGTCATATTCCTGTACGATGTAAAGAACTAAATTTGTGTTTTGGTCAAGTTCTCCATGAATCATCTCACTACACCAACATTATTTACAGGATGATTGATGATTGTTATGCAGGATATTGGAATGTGTTCAACATCCCTAACATACCGTATTTTTCGCCCTATAAGTCGCAGGTTTTTTGCATAGATTCGTCAGTCCTGCGACTTATACGCCAGAAAATACGGTTATTTACATGCCCTGCGACTTACATGCCGAAGCGACGCATTTATGGATTTTTTTCTCATATTTATAAACAAATTTTTGGCTGAGATATGACCGTGTCCATTCATTCAGACTGAAATTATTGAACACTACCATTTTCAGCCCCTAGATGGCACTCGAGTAGTATGGCATGCCATTGTGTCATGTAATAGGTAAAAGTGTCTTTTAATGACACAATTGGCTTGCCGTAGCCCGCCACCTTCGTCCAGCTCGTTGCTTAGAGCAACCGGCGAAATTCAGCTGATTTGACCATTGAAATGAATTTATTAAGTAAAAGTTCAACTGAGACGCACCTTTACTATAAAGTTGAGCAAACAATTGTTTTTAGGTGGTTATCTTGTTAAATTTCGAAGAAATGCACAGCGAGCCCTCTCATGCGCGCGCCTACTTCCGCGAATCGTGTTTTGAAATGCAGCTGATTTGACCATCAAAGTGCATTTATTAAGGAAAAGTTAGACTGAGACACCTTTACTATAATTTTGAGCGAACAAATATTTGTTTTTAAGTGTTAGTCTTGTTAAATTCTTGTTAAAGTCCTCTCGTGCACGCTCCCGCAGCCGCCATTTGGCAGTCAATCAATTTTTGGCACAACGACGGCCCACGTTTCCGGGTTGACAGCGATGACGCATAACAGATGCAACTTCTACGGCAAAGCGACATATTTATGGATTTTTCCACTTTATTAGACACATTTGGACTGATGCGACTTATATGGCAGAAAATATGGTAATATTTTATAACAAAATAAAAAGCAACAGTTTTTGCATTGTGCTAATCTGTTTTGTGTTTAAATTGGAATTTGAGTCAATTAGAGGCATCAAGTTTTTGATTTTATTATTATTAACGACAAATAAATATATACCATTTTATAGTTTACCTTATTCTGTTTTCTCCTTGATGATTTATTCTAATAAAAAAAAATGCAGTAGCATGCTAATGTCCTCTGGTTGTGTTGGGTTTGTTCCCAAATACATTTTGGACACGTCATGTGATGGGACTTTTTTTTGCGTCCGAGATTAATTGTTGACAAACTTTTTGACACAAAAGCTATCTTAAAGTGAACCTTTTGTTTTGTTTTTGTATCATATCTAGCTCCATGAACCTTGGCTTTAGATAAATAACTAAAAAAAACACGAGTCAAAACAAAGAATTTACAGAAGAAAGCCGATGCCATAAGCTTAAGCTAAAAGATTCATATCAGTTGATTTAATCTTCAGTGCTTATTTTGACAGAAACACATTTTAAACTGAAAGAATGTGTATCTTTTTCTAAATAAAGTCTTAAAATGGCCCACGTGTTGTATTTCAGGGTTTCTTTGGGAAATTTTCCCCCTAAACACAACGCAACCTTTTAAAAGAGCCACAAAACCAGGAAGTGACTTTCTATCAGGGCACAAAGCCACTTTAATGTCCAATACTTTCCTCACACACACAAAGGAAGTTTCCCTGACTCAGCTGCTTTTTGGGTGTGGATTTTTATTTTGTTTTATTACAGCATGCTCTTTTTTTGGTTTCCTCTGACAGAGACCTCCAGAATAATGAAATCTCATGGACCATCGAAGACATGAACGGACCTTTCTCTGCGCTGGACAAGATGAAAACGCTGTGAGTCGTCCATCGTTCCGTCTGATGTCCATTTCAACAGAGCCACGCCAGTGACTAAAAGTGATCGGACGTTTGTTTTCCCAGGTTCCTGCAGGGGAACCAGATCCGCTCGGTGACCAAAAAGTCTTTCTCGGGCCTGGACACGCTGCAGCACCTGTGAGTCATGTTCGGCTGCTTGTTTTCAAAAGTCCGAGCTGTAAACTGAGCGGGATGATTCATTAGAAGACACGGAGGGTGTTTGTTAGAGCCATGCATCCAAACTGTCTTCTCTGCTTTGATGTGGAGTAAAGTACAAAAAAAAAAAAAAAGTGGTCATTAGCATCTTTTTGTGTGAGCCAAATCGTATCGATCACCAAGGCAAGTGGAGACAACTGTGTGTGTTCGACTGTGCAACAACTGCATTTGATTCTAATTAGTTTTTTTTTTTCCTCCCCGCCAAAGCTCAAAGCTCAAAGCGTCCCAGGCTTCCTTTGATTAACTCCACAATCTGTTGCCCAGAGTTTTATTGTTTTGGAACCCGGACCTTTTTATTCTTGCGATTGATGTTTTGAAGTCCTTACATCAAACATTTGCTGTGTGCAAATAAAATAAAATAAAAAGTTCACCATATCTATGCTGATGCCTTTCATTTGTCTTTCCACAGAGATCTGAGCAACAACGCCATCATGTCCATCCAAGGCAACGCCTTCTCTCAGATGCAGAACCTCGACGAGCTGTAAGTGTGTCCGCCTTTAGGCAGAGCCTCGGTGCCGTTGCAGAACCAAACGCCAGGTGAAAGTCATTATGGCGTGCTGGGGAAGTCGGCACCGTACGGGGCTGCCTTCACTAATAACGAGCGCAGGGGGTTCCTTTGCCTTCGCCGCACTGGAAAAGTTTTAAAGGAAACGTTCAAACTTTGTTACAACCTCCATGTATGGGTTCTGCTGGTGTGTGTATGTGAGCCTACACTTGTGCTTGTGTGAACCGTTAGAAAACACTAGACTTGCTGTTATCTCCCGCCCTTGGCAGGCTTCTGAACACCTCCAGCCTCCTGTGTGACTGCCAGCTGAAGTGGCTTCCCATCTGGGTGGCAGAGCAAACCTTCCTGCCCTGCGTCAATGCCAGCTGCGCCCACCCGCAGATGCTGAAGGGCAGGAGTGTGTTTTCTGTCAACCAGGAGGAGTTTGTGTGCGGTGAGTGGTGCATTCGTTCAGCGCAACATCTCGACACGTGCACTGTAAAGTCGGACGTTTTCCAAAGGTTTTCCCATTTACGACCCCAGTTCCAAAAAAGTTGGGATGCTGGATAAAACGTAACGAAACAAAAACGGAATGCAATGATTAGCAAATCTCATCAACCTCTTTTTTTTAACATTGGTACGTAATAATCATTAATTTGTTGAAATTAATAAACTGTACATTAAAAAATATACTTTTCAACTTTATGGCAACAACATATCTTTCAAAGATCAAAGTTCATGCTCAATAATCCAGGTAAAAAAATCCAACAAAGTTTAGTCAGGTCCTCTGGACGGTTTCTTTTTTTTGTTGTTGAAACGTTTCGTCCTTGATCCATAGGACTTCATCAGTCCAAGGATCTTATCACCATAAAACTTATGGTTTAAATTAATAAAATCGTATGTCCTGATGCATGCTCAATAATCCAGATAGAAAAATCTAAAAAAGTTAAGTCAGGTCCTTTGGATCCGAAAGACTTCTTCAGTCTGAAGAAGTCTTACGGATGAAAGATGAAACGTTTCTGCATTTTTTTTTTTTGAACCCCTCCAGACCTGACTTAACTTTTTCTGATAAAATAGGATGGTTTCTCCAGAAACCATCTTATCACCATCAAACTGGTTGGCCCACTATGTGAGTAAACCACTTATTATGGGACTGAGTTTGTTGTAGCTCCTCGTACTGATGAAGTTCTTTGGATGAATGACAAAACGTTTCAACAACAACAACAACAAAAAAAAGAAACCGTCCAGAGGACCTGACTTAACTTTGTTGGATATCTTCAAAAGGTTGTTCCAGGTCCATGTGTCCCACTGTGAAGCATCTCCTCTTCTTTTAACAACAGCCAGTAAACGTCTCTGAACGGAGACGACCACCTGTTGGAGTTTTTGGAGGATGATGTCCAATTCTTGTCCGATTGAGGATTCCAGCTGTCATGGGGCTACTTTGTTGGATTTTTTTTGCTAGGTAGAAGCATATGCTCTAAAACCCGTAAATACTTTTGTGCATTTATAGTGCTTTTCCAGATGTGTAAGCTGTCCATGCCAGAGGCATGAATGCACCCCTATACCATCGGAGAGGCAAGCTTTTGAACTGTGTACTGATAACCAGCTATAGGCTGGAGGACACGGTGTCAGTGGTTTCAAATGTCCCATCATCTGACCTCAGAATGGTTCTCCACTTCACCTCAGACCATTTTAAACAAGCTTTGAGCCACAAAAGGCGACAGCCGTTCTGGATAGTGTTCACATCTGGCTTCTTTGTTACCTGACAGAGCTTCAAGCAGCATTTGTGGATGAACTGTGTACTGACAATGGTCTGTGCAAGTGTTCCTGAGCCCAGAACAGAACCAGACCTGGTTTTATTGCAGTGGTAATAATACTTTTTTATTGACAATAGAACATGATACTGTGTTCTATTGTCAACATACAAGGGTTTTATGAAATTAGCAGATTATTGTGTTCTGTTTTGTTTTTACATTTTATGAATTGTCCCAACTTTTTCCAGAACTGAGGATGTACAAACTAACCCAGATTAGGATTTTGTCCAGTCTCAAACTTTTGTTCAAACTTGGTTTAATAAGCAAACATAGAAAATGTAAAAGTTGTTTTTTCCCCTTCTTGTTAAATCACGCAGATGACTTCCCTAAGCCTCAGATCACAGTGCAGCCAGAGACCCAGTCAACCCTCAAAGGCTCCAACGTGACATTCGTGTGCTCTGCTGCGAGCTCCAGTGACTCACCCATGACTTTTGCCTGGAAGAAAGACAACGAGGTCCTGAATGACGCAGAGATCCACAATCAGGCCCATCTACGGGTGCAAGAAGGTGCAGGAATTGAGACGGAGGTGACGGAGTACACAACTACGCTGCAGCTGCGAAACGTGGACTTCTCCAGTGAGGGGAAGTACCAGTGTGTGATCTCCAACCACTTTGGGTCGTCCTATTCCACTAAGGCCAGGCTCACAGTTCACAGTAAGTCTGGGATAGGAAGAACCATCTTACTCTTTAAAATACATGTTGAAATCTTAAATAATCCAATCTCATGGTCTTTGTCTTTTTTCTAGTACTCCCCTCCTTTACGAAGATGCCAATGGACTTAAGTATCCGGGCCGGAGCAATGGCTCGGCTGGAATGTGCTGCTGTCGGTCACCCTTCTCCTCAAATTGCATGGCAGAAAGACGGAGGCACCGACTTTCCTGCTGCCCGTGAACGTCGCATGCACGTCATGCCAGAAGATGATGTCTTTTTCATCGTAGATGTCAAAACGGAAGACATCGGTGTTTACAGCTGCACGGCTCAGAACATAGCAGGAGCCATTTCTGCCAATGCCACACTAACTGTTCTTGGTGAGGAAGACATTTTACATTCAAAGTCATACATTCTCATTGATTATCATTTTTGCTTTTTTGGCATTTACCCCGTAAATATTCCTTCTGCTGTGGTTCTTACAGAAACGCCTCATTTCTTGCGCCCCCTCATGGACTGTACTGTGGCCAAGGGTGAGACTGCAGTCCTCCAGTGCATCGCAGGCGGTAGCCCTCCACCAAGACTGAACTGGACCAAAGACGACAGCCCACTGGTGGTGACCGAACGCCACTTCTTCGCTGCTGCCAATCAGCTCCTCATCATTGTTGATGCTGCAGATGCAGATGCAGGAAAGTACACCTGCGAGATGTCCAACGTGCTGGGCACGGAGAGGGGCAATATTCATCTTGGTGTTCTACCAAATCCCAACTGTGACTCTGGAGTGCAAGGGGGTATAGGGATCGGAAAAGTGATAGGACAAGGATCGGAAGATGACGAGTGGACCACAGTGGGGATTGTCATCATAGCTGTGGTGTGCTGTGTAGTTGGAACATCTCTGGTCTGGGTGGTTATCATCTACCACACCCGTCGGCGGAACGAAGACTGCAGCGTCACCAACACAGGTACTTTTATCTTTTTGCTAATCATCCAATAACCTATTTTCCCACGCTTTCTGTCTATTAATTATAAACTGTAATTGTGCTCCAGATGAAACCAACCTGCCTGCAGATATTCCCAGCTATCTGTCCTCTCAGGGCACCCTGGCTGACCGACAGGACGCCTACATCCCATCTGAGAGCGGCAGCAGCCATCAGTACATGGCGTCGTCCATTAGTGGTTTCTACCTGCAGCCTAAAGACATGAATGGTATGGGCACCTGTCTTTTGTTCTTTGTCTTGAAAGTAAATATTCAAAAAAATTCCCGGTTTGGTTACTTGATACCATCTCTTTACCCGGACAGGTCTTTGTCAGCTGGATACAGGAAGCGAAGCAGACATGGAAGTAGCTATTGATCCTTTGCTCTGCCATTATCAAGACCCAGTTGGCTCACTGATGTGCCGAGATAACTTCTATCCCAGCGAGCCCTCTGAAGTCTTTTCAGGTTAGTAAGAAAAACTTGATTTTGATCATTCGGCGCAGCAAAAACTCCACATTAAAATTCTGACTTTTCATCTTCAGGTTGTTCTTTCGATCAAATTCCAGTTGGTATGGACTACTACAGTGGCAGCTTGACCAACTCCAAAAGGAAGGATTTCTTGTTGCCTGATTACTTTGACCTCTGCCCTTCCACCGTTCTGATGCAGCTTCCCAACCCTAGTAAGCATCAAGATGCCTCGCACCAGCAGAGTGACTGCAATCCACCCTTTGAGAACGGAGACGTGGTCTCCTACGGGAGACCTCATGAGAACGTCTCTCCTTGCAACACCTTCATGGGTAGGCCTCCACTTCCACTGATATTCTGATTTTCCCTTATGGTGCTGTCTTCTGACTTTCCCCCACACATTTCTCCCTCAGGAACATTTGGGAAAGCTCCTTGGAGACCCCACAGGGATTTTTACAGCAGCCTTAACCCCCCGTCAGTCACGTATAATGGAATAACTCTGCACGAGAATTCGTACGTTGATTCAAACCACGAGGAAAACTTGAACGAGGACTCGTCTTCAGAGCAGAGTAACGGCGTCAGAGAACACCCCTTCGAGAGCTGTAGGACTGATCCTTTCTCACAGCGCCGAATGAGCACTTAGCTGAGTGACTCTGTTCTCAGCTTTTATGAAGAGGACAACAAAATAATTTAAATTTCTACCTCAGTGAATGGACAACTTTTGCAATAAAGGACTTCTGTAAAGTGCAGCGAGTGAATGTAAAGGACAATTTGATGTCACAGCAGAAAATGTTCTTTTGCTGATAAAGATTCAGTTAAATAGCAAATGAGTTTATACATTTTTTATAAAGTATATTATATTTTGTAAATCGTTTATAAACAGATATGATTGTTGCTTATTTTTTGTATGATTGTTTCTGCAGCATATTCATTTATTTCAGCTTTGAATAAAGCAACGTTTTGCACATATATAAACAATAAAAATCATAAATATGTGCTGCTACATTCGCTTACAGATCTATATTTTTAATAATCTTTTTGGCTTCAGATTAAGTGGACGTGTATGAGGTGGGGGAGGGTTAAACACTGAGCATTGTACAGGTTTTGTCGTTACGAACCGTTTAGAAAAAACAGGATAAAAATTCAATTTCATTCATGAAGATTACTGAACAGCTCCTTCAAATTAATTTACTGCACATCTATTGAAAATGTAAAGTTATCACAATATCAATATTACAAAGGACTGTTTAAACTGCAATAAATCACTGGCTAGTCCAAGTAATTATATTCCAAGTGCCGTGCATTCATCCTAGTAATATTTGGACAATCCAATATACTTTCTGCCCTTGTTACTTTGGTTTAGATGATTGTGGCAGAGACCAACACACCGAGGGGCTGTTAGCGTTGAAAGCCTAACATGAGAATAAAAACATTCACTATGAGCTAATCTCATACTAAAAACATGGCTAAATAGTTGGAAATGTGCAGGAGAGAAGATCAGTGTGGCAAAAAAGATAAGTCAATTTTATTTATAAAGCATATTTAAAACAGCAGCTGTTACCAAAGTGATTAAGAGTAAAATCAATGGGAGTAATTTCATAGAAAACAAACGTAAGAAAAATAATATTACTGAAAATGAATTACAGAGCAGTGAAATACTAAATCAAGTCACGTGTGTTAAATGTCAGAGAAAACCGGTGTGTTTCTATCAGATGATATGACTGATGAAGCCGTCTGGATCGAAGGCGAAACGTTTCAGCGCAAAAAAAAAAAACTGTCCAGATGACCTGACTGAAAAATGTTGGATTGTATACCTGGATTATTGAGCATGGACTTTGTTGTTTCTAGCAGAGGTTTAAAAACAGGAAGTGAGGTGGCCTGCCTGATGTTGGGCGGCAGATTGTTCCAAAGTTTAGCGCCCACGACTGAAAAAGCCAAAAGCAGCTGATCAAAAGATCTCAGGGCCTGAGAAAGAACATATGTTTCCAGTAGCTCACATGAGGGTACAAGTCCATTAATGCACTTAAAGGTTAGCAGGAGAATTTTAAAATCAATTCTGCCAAGTACAGGGAGCCAGTGAAGAGAGGATAAAACTGGTGTAAGATGATCAAACCTACGAGTTCCTGTTAAGAGCCGGGCTGGAAACATGAAATGGGAGACCTGACTGACCCCAACATAGAGTGTGTTACAGTAGTCCAGTCAGGTAGTAATAAAGGCATGGACCAGTTTTTCAAGGTCACATCTGGACAACACTGGTTTAAGCTTAGCCTTAACTGGAAGACGCTTTTCTGCAGAACAGAGTTAATTTGTTTATTAAACTTAAAGTCAGAGTCTAAAAGCATTCTGAGATTTGTAACATACTGCATAAGATATGGCAGAAGAGAGTCACGATTTACAGGCTCAGAGACAGTGGTAGAGCTAGGGCTAAACACAATGACTTCAGTCTTCTGATCATTAAAACATAAAACATTTGACGCCTTGATGTCATCAAGATATTTTAACAGAGGATGAATGGAGCAAGACTATTAGGTTTCAAGGGCGGATAAATCTGACAATCAGCATAATAATGAAATGAAAGACCATGTTTCCTCAGGATAGACCCCAAAGGGAGCAGATAAGAGTGAAAACAAAAGGGGTCCAAGAATCGAGCCGTCTGGCTCGATTGGACAAGGGAGACCCTGGTTAGTGTTGCTTTTTTATCAATTTACAAATAAATACTGAGCTGACAAAGGGATAATCCAGTTTCAAGCAATAATCTAATGTAAGATGATACAAGACCATCAGCTGTTTTATCTTGCCCGGAAGACCACATCATTTGGAGGAAGTGTGACCCAACATTAAACTGAACATATTAGAAGAACTATCATTGAATCTTATTTTTTCAAAACAACCAGAATCTTGGGGAAGGTCTTGTCTCACGTCAAGAGAATAATTTTGCACACTTTGCACTTTTTTCTCCCCAATCTTGACTGGACTGACGAGCTAACGACTCGTCCAAATGGGGCTGAGATGAAACGGGATCGCTGCGGTCTTAAAACAACTTATAGCAATTTATGTACAAATATTTCTGCAGGATAATCTTGTCACTTGAATTAGACAGTGATGTCAAAGTTTCAACACATAAAATTACACGAAACAAATTAAATTTTGGTGGTTTCATATTTTGGAAGTTTGCAGCGCTCAGACAAGCTAAAACCGGCTAGTCAAGTAAAACTTTGGTAATGAATCAATTAAATAATCATCACTAGACATTATTATAGAATATTAGATTCTCCCTCATTCATACTGGTGAGGTGGGATTGTGTCGGGCAAAAACAAATCTTAGCTCAAAAAATGGTCTTTTAGTTCAAAATTTCCAAACGTCCAAGTCTTTTAGCTGTTCCTCCTCTTTTAGATCAACATGGAAACTGTCCAAACAGCAAATAAAGCCAAAAAAAATTTCAAATTATTTGGAACATGCCAACCAACAATTATGAATATTAGTGTTTGGACCACCTTCTTAAGTAATTCTATTAATATTGGTACCTGTAATTAAATGCAACTTATAATGATTGCAGGTAATTTACGTTAAACCCACAAATTGCTGCAGGAGCAATAGGCCACAATGTACCTAAGTCCCAACTAGGCTTTCTCTGTTTGCAGGATGACTCATTCCCCCTCCCTGAACCCCACAACCCCCCCAGCCCTTCTCGCCTGGTGGTTTGTTGTTTCAGGCCTCTCCTCTTCAGCAGGAGGGAAAAAGGTGTGCTTGTATGGCGGGCTTGCTGTTGAAACTTGCATTTGGAACTTGTCTTGCGGCTCTCTGGCTGCCACAGAGGAGCTGTGTTTATGAAACGGCAGATTCACGATGGTGGTGCCAGCATTTCGAAGAGTGGAGGCGGGGGTAGGTGGATGGGAGGGGGGTTAATCAGATCCTCCATTCAGGGGCGAGTCGCTTCAGTCTGCCTTTAAAAGAAACAAGCTGATTTCCTTAGTGGAAATCAACACATTCTCACTCGGCTCGTATGAAGAAATGGTCTTGAGTCTTGCTTTTATATGATGAATAATTTTCCCCCCATCTTTTTGGCTGACTAATGTTTAAGTACACCTTCTCGGTGTGCTCTGGGCTACGCGGTTTGTGTGCCTTGTTTTAAAAGGAATGAGGGGTTTTGTTGGAAGTCTTGCCAGTTCTCCGAGGAGGCTGCGATTAGGACAGGACTGTTGAGCCACACACGTTCAAACACCTGGGGAACAGCTGTTGGAGCAGCATTCAAGGTCCAGTCTATTTTCATCTTATCTCGGGGCAGAACATGAACAAAGTAGGGTTTTGGAGTGATAAATGATAAACTAAAAGGATTCTGATTACACTAGTAGACAAAAACATTGTGGGGATATTTACAAGACTGACACAGTGTATTGTTCTGAGGTGAATTTTGAAGAGGTGAATGTATATAAAATGTGCAGAAACAGATGTTAGGTAAGAAGAAAAAGGGGTTGAACTGAAATGATTTGGGCTGGCGGAAGACGGGGAAAGCTGGCCTCAGTACCAGTGCAACTAAAAACAAGTTTCCTTATGTAGTTTGGCATTCTGAAGTAAAACAAAATAAAAAAGTGCTATGTGGCATTTAATCATGTTCTTGTTATATAAGATTTGCAGGTCTATTGCTACAGGCCAATCAGTTCCTAAGCTAATGGTGCGAGACTCTGGTTTGCATTGCTGGCAGTAAGTTGGACCCATTCAGGGTGAGAGTCGAACTCCATAAGGGCTGCCAGTTGTCACAGATTTTGTTCATAACTTTTATGGACAGAATTTCTTGGTGCAGCCAGGGAGACAGATGGGCTTCGATTTGGTGACCTCAGAATTCTGTCTCTATTTGCAGATGATGTGGTCCTCGTGCCAGGATCCCCAGCTTTCACTGGAGCAGTGCACAGTGAGTGTGAAGATGCTGGAAGGAGTACCAGCAACTACAAATCTGAGGCCATGGTCCTCAGTTGGAAAAGGGTGGATTGCGCTCTCTGGGTTGAGGGTGAGGTGCATAAGTGGAGGAGTTCAAGTATCTTGTGGTTTTGTTCACGAGTGAGGGAAGAATGGGGCATGAGATTGACAGACGGACTGGTGCAACTTCCACAGTATTGCATGCTCTGATCCAGTCTGTTGTAGTGAAGAGGGGGCTGAAGTGCAAGAATTGCTGTTTATTGGTTGATCCACATTTCTACCCTCACCTATGATCATGAACTTTGGTAAGGATGTCCCATGGACGTCTCCCTAGAGAGGATTTATTGGCATGTCCAACTGGAAGGAGATCCCGGAGAATACCCAGGACACACTGAAGGAACTATGCCTCCTGGCTGTTCTGGGAACACCTTGGAATGCTCTTGGAAGAACTGAAAGAGGAGGCCGTGGAAAGAGATGCCTGGGCCTCCCTGCTCAGCTGTTGGCCTCGATAGATGGATGGATGGCTCAAAATGTATTTACTTGTAGAAGCAGAAAAGTAACTGAACTCTGAAAACATTAAGTTAGATAAATCTTAACAAGGCTAAGTCAAGTCCTCTGGACTGATTTTTTCTTTGATGAAGCGTTTCGTCTTTTATTCAAAATACTTTGTCAGTTCGAGGACCCGCAACAAACTCAGTCTTATAAATAGCACCTTCTCATAGTGGATCAATCAAATTGCTGCCGACAGCCAGAATTAGCTGTTCATGTGTAAACGGAGAACCATCAGCCTAACAAAGATTTAGTATATATCAAATGACAGTGGCACCCTTTGAGTATGTGTTGTAAATGACTCTAAGCTACTACCAAATTAAATATATGCTCTTCATCTGTAAAACTGACCAAGGAAAAATATTTTGTTGGCTATTGTTGATTAACTATTCATTATTTGTAGATGTACATGTCGAGAGAATATACGGACGATTCAATTTAATGTTTTACGATGTCCAGTTAAAATTGCATTTTGTAACACGATCAAACAACCAAATATCATGGCTACAGTTTCTTTAGATTTCAAGCTACAACAACAGAACTAAATAACTAA